AAGAAAGAAAGAAAGAAAGAAAGAAAGAAAGAAAGAAAGAAAGAAAGGAAAGAAAGAAAGAAAGAAAGAAAGGAAGAAAGAAAGGCAGGCAGGCAGGCAGCCTTGCGGTCTCTTGTCTCTTGTTCCACTCACTCGTGCAGCGCAGGTCACCTTTGCTTTCCAGCTGCAGTTCCAAAACAGGATTCTTGTTTTTGCAAACACAACAAAATCAAACAAACCAACAAATAAGCCACAACCCTACCATTTGGCCTGGATCAGGGATCTCGACTTGCCCCGATTCCTGTGATCCGAATATGGCTTTTGAAAGAGGCACCTGGATCTACTGTGTTAGGGGTCTGCAACCTTAAACACTCAAGAGAGCCATTTGGACCTGTTTCCCACAGAAAACACCAAACACCGGGAGCCACAAAACCTTGGTGGCTGTGGCCAACTCAACATCACTCCCACCCACTCACATGACCCCCCCCCCTCCACGCCTACCCAGGTTTTGTGGCTCTGCATGGTTTCTGTGGGAAATGGGTCTGTCTCTTTTTCCTTCCCTCCCTCCCTCTCATTTGTTTTTTGTGTTTTACCTTCTCAGACCAGGCCGGGGGTGGTGGTGGTGACTGGGAGGAGAGGCCGAGGGGCAGGGCCAGCCAGTGGTGGGATCACCCAACAGAGAGGCACAGCTCACCCAACAGAGGGCCCAAAGAGCCGCATACGGCTCCAGAGCCACAGGTTGCTGACACCTGTGATCGCCTCAGCCTTGATCCTTTCCGCAGCCTAATCTTCACTGTTGCATCGATGGGATTCAACAACGTGATAAAGGGCCAGAGTGGTAGTAGCTCTGGGGGATTTGGTGTTGCAAAGAGCAATGGCGACGTTTGTGGTTATGGTGCTCCATCAAACGGTAGGCAGTTCCAAGTGACTGTAGATAAACTTAGGGTGCCAATCACTTTCTCTCAGCCCCAGGATGTAGGGAATGGCAAATCACTTCTACAAACCTTTGCAAAGAAATCTGCAGGGACTTGTTTCTGAGAATCAGGCAGGATTAAACAGGAAAAATAACAAAAAAAATAACAAAAAGCATCTGGAGTCTGTAGTCTAAATCAGGGGTCTCCAACCTTGGCAACTAAGCCTAGCAGACTTAAAAGTTGCCAAGGTTGGAGACCCCTGGTCTAAACAGTGTTTCTCAACCTTGAAAACAGATGTACAGAATTCCCCAGGTAGTAATGCTAGGGAGGAATTCTGGGAATTGAAGTCTTCAAGCTGCCAAGGTTGGAAAATGCTGTTTTTTTCAAGTCAAGCAAACTAGTTTGCGGGGATGTTAAATATTGTCGCGTTAACCTATTACAAAGAAGTTGTTGCATGTGAAGGTCCTCGCTCAGTTTCTGAGATCACTGGACAGGCATTTTGGAAATCCTGGTGGAGGTTGCCAAAAAGAACCAATAAATGCAACTGGATCGGTTGCCCGATATTTATAAGGGATGTTGCTGTGTGCCATATGTCATTTTGTTGAAAAAAACAAGTCACAATTGCAAGATGGGTGCAATTCTTTATCAGGACAATAAATAGGTTCTGTGAGGGCATTTACTCCTTGTGTGACAGCGGCCTAACTGTAAGTAAGAGAACGATCCTGGCTTGTACCAATTTGAAACCTGCTTTACAAGAACAATGGAAAAGCAAAGGTTTTCATTTTATTACAAGGCGGAAAATCCTTGGCAGCCAATCAGATCCCTGAGGATTTCCAGCCCTGTAATAAAATTAAAACCTTTGGTTTTCCATTGTTTGGGGTCCCTCTTTCTTGTTAAGCTGGCACCTAAAGACCATTGCAATAGACATGCTTGATGGAACAGCATCCACTGGTGGATTGCAGGGCCCTTCACGCATCTCTCCCCTCCCTTCTTGTGTTAGAACACAAGGGACAATTAAACCAGCGGTCACCAACTGCTGCTGCTGCGGCCCACTGGTGGGCCATGAGAAAATTTTGGTGGGCTGCAAAGAAATCTCACCCCCCAGAGCACGCCCCCAAAGCAATTAATCCAGGCTGCGCAGAAACACAAGGCTGAGCTGCAGGAACCCTCCCCGCCCACTCACTCCTTACCCGGCAAACTTGCCTGATAAATTGCTATTTTTCCTTTTTCCCACCATCATCTGTTCTGCTGTGCCGGGAGATTTAGATTAGCTAGGAAGCAGGACATGGTTGGATTTCTTGCTTTCTAGCTAGTCTTTAGATCTTCGGCTCTGCTTTTAAGCACAGCCGAACCTCCCTTAGGACTGCAGGTTCTATTATTCGGTGCAGACTCACGGCAATATGGATGGCACATAGATAGATTTCTGAATGAATCTGTGATTCTGCGAGCAACTCAACCTGCCTGCCTGCTTTGCCTGATTTTGGGTAAAAGCTGCTCTTTTTTTATAAAAACATCAATATTTATATAAATATTTATAATATTTACATACAAGCCATGCCCAGCCAGTCACATGATCACCAAGCCACACCCACAAATTAGGCCACACCCACAGAACCAGTTAGTGGTCCCTGGGATTTAAAATTATGAGTTTGGTGGTCCCTGAGGTCCAAAAGGTTGGCGACCTCTGAACTAAACAGTGTTTTTTAATGGGGCACTGGTGGAGGGGATAATACCAGATTTAAATCAGAATAGACCTGGAAATTAACTTCTCCAGTTTAACTCCTTGAAGGAGAAAGATAAGTTTTGGGCAAGAATGCCACCAGGCTTGAACGCAGTTAGTAAGGCCAATAACAAAAATCACCTTTCTGGGACATCACAACCATAAAAATGCCATCACCTTTGCTAGACGTGCCTTGTATTTGCAGGGCAAGTAAATGTTAAATGCTTTGCAATTTACAATATATGGGGTTTATTGGTTTCTGTATTACGATTGTATTGCTGTAAACTGTGTTGAGTTACCATGAGTTTCTCTGCCATATAGATTTTCGTAATAAACATACATGCATTCATATTTATATGCCCCTTTATGATATGAAGAAACAACTCAAGACGACAAACACATCTAATAAAGGTCCAAGCTCGCCTTTTCTGGCCCAGCACAGCAGTTCCCTTCGACTCCATGAAAGGGAACCACCGCCCTGGGCCAGAGAAAGGGAGTTCAGATTTCCTTCCTCATGTCTGATACTAAGACACGTTTGACTAAAAAGAATCATGCAAGAAATCAAAAATATTAATTTCTCAGCTGGGCTTCCAATAAGAAAAGAGAAACGAAGTTCAAGATTCCTCTACACACATCAAATTTTCCCTCATGTGGAATTTCTTGTGTGCGATAAGAGAGGAATTGCGTGTGAAACACTGTTCACAATCTGGGCATTTGAATGGTTTCTCCCCTGTGTGTAACCTAACATGATTTATAAGGTTAGACCTAATACTGAAATCTTTCCCACAATCTGGACACTCATATGGTTTTTCTCCTGTGTGAGTCCTCCAGTGTATCACCAAGTCGTAATTCCGATAGAAACATTTCCCACACTCGAGACACTCATATGGTTTCTCTCCTGTGTGAATTCTCTGATGCTTCACCAGGTATGAATTCTGACTGAAACTTTTGCCACACTCAAGACATTCATATGTTTTTTCTCCTGTGTGAGTCCTCTGATGTTTCACCCGGTTGGAATTATGACTGAAACTTTTCCCACAATACATACAG